TTTGCAAATTCCTTTAGTTTTTGTTTGTCCTGGAAGCTTTTTATCTCTCCTTCTATTTTCAATGACAGCCTAGCTGGATATAGTATTCTTGGATGCCTATTTTTCTCGTTTAGTGCTCTGAAGATATCTTGCCACTCCTTTCTGGCCTGCCAGGTCTCTGTGGATAGGTCTGTTGCCAATCTAATGTTTCTACCAATATAGGTTACATATCTCTTCTCCTGAGCTGCTTTCAGGATTTTCTCTTTGTCTCTGAGACTCGTAAGTTTTACTATTAGATGTCAGGCTGTTGACCTATTTTTATTGATTTTGAGAGGGGTTCTTTGTGCCTCCTGGATTTTGATGCCTGTTTCCTTCCCCAAATTAGGAAACTTCTCCGCTATAATCTGCTCCAATATACCTTCTGCCCCTCTCTCTCTTTCTTCTTCTTCTGGGATCCCAATTATTCTAATGTTGTTTCGTGTTATGGTGTCTCTTATCTCTCGAATTCTCCCCTCGTGATCCTGTAGTTGTTTATCTTTTTCTCAGCTTCTTTTTTTTCCATCATTTGGTCTTCTATATCGCTGATTCTCTCTTCTGCCTCATTTATCCTAGCAGTTAGTGCCCCCATTTTTTATAGCACCTCATTAATAGCCTTTTTGATTTCGACTTGGTTAGATTTTAGTTCTTTTATTTCTCCAGAAAGGATTTCTCTAATAACTTCCATGCTTTTTTCAAGCCCAGCTAGTATCTTTAAAATCATGATTCTGAAAAAATAAAAAATAAGAAAAATAAAAAATAATAATGAAATCATGATTCTGAACTCTAGGTCTGACATCATACTAATGTCCGTATTGAGTAGGTTCCTGGCAGTGGGTACTACCTCTTGTTCTTTCTTTTGAGATGACTTTTTCCATCTTGTCATTTTGTCCAGAGGAGAATAGATGGAGGAGAGAACAAAATGCTAACAGGGTAACAACGTTCCCAGAAAATATACTCTAAACAAATCAGAAAAGACCTGAAATGGTGGGGGGAAAAAAGGGAAAGAAAGAAAAAAGAAAAAGATAAAGATCAAAACAAACAAAAACAGAACAAAACAAAACAAAGAAAACAGAGTATGATCAAATATGATCAGGCTGGTGCATAGATCAGTGCCACACACTAGATTTTGGTCCTTTAGAAGAAAGTGCCTCCCCAAATTTTAAGGAAAGAAAAACTTATATATGTACAAAAATAAGGGTTGTTACAATGAAGGGATGGACTATGATGTAAAGATGAAAATTATAAAAAATTTTATAAAAGGTATTGATAAGATAAGAAGTTGTTTGAAAAAAGAAAGAAGAGGATTTAAAAAAAAAGGAAAAAAAAAAGGGGAGAGAATGTGATCAGACAGGAGACTAGAACAAAGCCATACACTAGAGATTTAGGGTATATTTTGATCTGTCAGAAGAAACTGTATCTCAAAATTTTAAAGAGAGAACAACTTATATATCTATGCCAAAAATAAGGGTAACTACTATGACAGTATGGAATATGACTCTAATAATGAAAATAAATTTTTTTTTTTAAAAAGGGATTGATAAGATGTTGGTTGAGAAAGGGAAAAAGAAAAATTCAAAAAAAAAGACAGTTAAAAAAAAATAAGTTTGAAAGACTAAAGAATCATGGTAAAAAAGCCATGGATTCTATGTGTAGTATTCCCCTAGCTCTGTAGTTCTGCCATTCTCATTGATCGGTAAACTTGGTTTTGGCTGGCTGTTCTTGCTGATCTTCTGGGGAAGGGGCCTATTGCTGTGGTCCCCAAATGTCTTTGCCGGAGGTGGAATTGCCCTGCCCTTGTCAGTCCGGGCTCAGTAATCTGCTCGGGTTTGCTCTCAGGAGCTTTTGTTCCCTGCAAGGTTTCCGTACAGCTTTGGAGGACGAGAGTGAAAATGGCAGCTTCCCAATCTCCACCCCAGAGGAGCCAAGAACTCGGGGCCCCGCTCCTCAGTGAGCCCCCGGAGAAAAGCAGTCACTCTCCTCTCCCCGGCCTCCGGCCGCACTCCGTGCTCACCCGGCCTGTGACCGAGCGTTTCTATCTCTGGCACCCGACCCTGTGTGGAGTCTCCAAACCCAGCAGATCCCTGCGGTGCGCTCCTGCGCCGCTCCTCCCAGGGGAGGAAGGGGAGTCTCGTCTCCCCGGCTCTGCCGCTTGTTGGGTCCCTGCTGGAGGAGCAGTGGCCCGACTGGGCCATGGATCATGGTTTATGGCCACCCCGAGCTGAGAGCCCGCGCCTCGGCTCCGTCTCTGCAGCCGGCTTCCCCGCTCCGATACCTGGGAGTTCTGCCGCACTCAGGCACCCCCGGTCTTTCTGTGACCCCGAGGGTCCTGAGACCACACTGTCCCGCGAGGGTTCCACCTCCTGCTTAGCCACTGGAGCGACGTCCCTCAGCGGAGCCGACTTCTAAAAGTTCCGATTTTGTGCTCCGCGGCTCTAGCACTTGCCAGAAGGGGCCGACGGAGGCCCCCTCCCCCGCCGTCTATCCTCCCGAATATCGCCTCGGATTCACTTCTCTGCACGTCCTACCTTCCAGAAAGTGGTCGCTTTTCTGTTCAGATAGTTGCTGCTATTCTTTTCTTCGATCTCCTGTTGAATTCGTAGGTGTTCAGAATGGTTTGATCCCTATCCAGCTGAATTCCTGAGACTGGATGAAATCCAGGTCTCCTACTCCTCCGCCATCTTGCTCCACCTAGGACTATCCCTTTTAACTCCTATATACCATGTGCCTGGCGAAGTTGCCTGAAATAGAATTTCTTTACTGAATGAAAGAATGAGCGTGTGAATGGATGAGGATGATTGACTAAAGCATGAGGCGGGAGGGGACTCCTTGTCAAACCTCACTTAGCCAGTTCTACTGAGAATTCAACCACCCCATTAATAAATGTACTTACTGAGTGAACTGCATTGAATCCGTTTGTGGAACTGTTTTATTCTATGTCCTTACTTCAAAATCAAGGAATTTTCGAGAACTGTGTCCTCTCCCTGGTGGGCTTCAGGATCTACTCAAAAGAGTTTGCAAAGTGGGGTTATAAAGTAGTTCGTTGTGTGGTGCATTTGGAAAGGGCTTATGAGGACTTTACTTCAAATCCTGGACCTGCGAATTATGCAGCTTGCAATTTAGGGGCTAGTTGTGCCACCTTGCTTGAGGCTCTGTTTCTTCACATATCCATGAATGGGCAGGCTCAAGGCCAATAAGACCTGACATCATCATTTCCCCAGGGATCAGCATGTCAACCACCCAGCACAGTACATGGTACAAAGGAGATAATGTCTCCATTTTAGTTTTATTTTCTGTTCCCTCTGACTCTACATCTTGACTTATTTTGTTCTTTTTCCCCTTTCTCTTTCTGCTTTTATTTCCCCTGACTCATCTTAGTGGGTGGTAATACTCCTATTACTCACATAGTTTGAATTTTGTGGGAAGAGAAGAATTAGCGGGACTTACAGAGGAGGCTTCCCTTTGTATGAGAAACACAAACCTCACAGCTTCTCTGCCCAGCTTTTCAAGAGCATTTTATGGTACACTGCTGTGTAACAAGTTCATTTTAGGATAACATGCTGGGAGAGAGAAAAAGAAGGGACTCAAAGGGAGAAAATTAAAAAGTTAATTAAAAGAAACAACTTGGTAATTGAATTCCCTTGCTCTCTTCTTTGGTTACAGGGGGTGGGTCACAGAGCATGGTTAGTAGGTTTGCTTTGGTAGCTCGCCTCCAAACTTCTGAGGAATAAGGTTGAGAGTGCGGAGTAGATCCCTGCCTGACAGATGGGGAGAGGATATCTATGATGGGCTTTTTAGACATGCCACACAAAGCTGCCCTCCTATTCATTCTTGAGCTTTTTTATTTTGAAATATTCTTGGCAGCTGACATTACAGTGAGGCTAAGCCCTGGACTAAGATCATCTAGTTTATGGGCCTGCCGAATCCCCTTTCCACTGATTCTGCTTCATGGATTCTAGCAATTTTCTAGCCTTATGCTGTATACACACTCACACAGGCACAAGGATAGAGAACTCCTGGTGTGCCTTTTTCAGATTATACTCAAGTAACAAGTGACATGGGTCTACTTTTGTTATTTTTAAAAGAAGCTTTGAATATTTATCTATTTAATTACTCTATCACATATCACTTGAGAGTTCAAATAATTTATCTTAGACGTTATCATTGAGTGAGACAAGGTCCTGTGGTGCATTAGCATGGGCTTAGGTATCGAGAACTAGGTTCAGACCTAACTCTCATTCACAACCTTTATTCATTCACATGGTCAACATACATTTGTATATCAGATGTGTACCGTGTTCCAGGCCCTGCTGAGGTTGCTGGTGATAAGTTTAAGTTCTATCAAGGCTTTTAGTAACATCAACTTTTTTGTGGTTTTGAAAATTCACTATAGACATAGACTTTTCTATATTTTTCAGTGTTTTGCTCTCCTCATGCTTGCAGCAAATTTACTGAAGAAAGAGGAACCTGGTTAAATAGTGTATTACCTTACTCATCCAAATTAGATCACCAAATACATACCCAAAATCCAAAGCCATCTCCAGAAAATAAGAGAATTACAATTTTATGTTTAATGATGTTGTGGTATCTTTCCTGACATGTTAAGGCCAATTGGTTGAGAGCCTTCATGGTTACTCCAAGAGTTATGAATGCCAGGCTGACTGTAAACACGCCTTCCACTGGTCAGTTGGAGATGTGGTACTAACAAGGGCTTTTGTGTTTTCACAGGTTACGGTTTTGTAGATTTTGACAGCCCTGCAGCTGCACAGAAGGCAGTAGCATCTCTCAAGGCAAATGGCGTGCAGGCACAGATGGCCAAGGTAAGACTGGGGTTTAGATTTTTTTTTTCTTTTGTGATAATATATTTCTCCATTACCGTGAGCTGAATCAGAATTGGAATGTGCAAGATTTGAGTTATATTTACTTGTTAGGGAAGACAAGAAACCTTATAATAGCTTTGGCTTGGAAGAACCTGGCTGGTTTATTTCATTGTTTCTTTGTGTGTATTTATTAATATGCTCTTTTATGGTGAACTCATTAGCGCTTTAAGGGCACTTGTGAAGTGCTCTGTTTTGCCTGAAAAAGGTGTGTGTGTGTCTGTGTGTGTCTAGGGCTTTCAGCAGTAAACTGTTTGGGAGTAGTATGATTCTCAGTAAGTTGTCATTGGTAACTGTGCTAAAAAACTTCACTCTCATGTTGGGCGTAGCGGATGGCTGAATAATGAGGTTATCTGATTTTTTGCAGGGAAATGAGTTTAACCAAAGCACACATTGTCTGTATTGCTAGAATTTCACTTTGGCCTTTATATATAGTTTTACTAGGTGATAATCACCTTGATATTAATAACTTTCAATACTCATTTGCTGTTATGTAGAACAAGTAGTCTGGAGCTTTCTATCTGAAATCATAATGCATTTTTATATTCAAGAAAATAAATAAGAGCATTTTAAATAGTTTTGAATTCTGATTGCAGTGGTATTACAAGAATCTACACATGTGATGAAATGGTGTAGAACCATACATGCAGATCAATATCAACTTCCTGGTTTTGATATTTTACTCTAATTATGTAAGATATAAATTTTGAGGAAACTGGGTGAAGGTGCATGGGATCTCTCTATACTATCTTGGCAACTTGATGTAAATCTATGATTATTTCAAAATAAAAAGTTTAAGAAAATCATTTACAGCATATAGATGCTTGATACATATCTGCTTTAAGTTGATCATTTAGCAAATATATTTTTAAATAATTTTATGATTACTATCACTGCATTTATTTGTCTCTGGAGTCTCAAAAGTTAGATAGAGGAGCGAACAGATCTTGAAATTCAGACCTACTGTATTTGGGCCATCTTCATGTATACCTTTACCCTTAACTATTCGAATACCCTAAGAACTGAGTGATATAATGACCAAATCATCAAATTTTCAGTCCTTTGGATTTTGTTATGGTTGCAAACATTCCCTGATAATATTTTCCAATTTCAACCTGAGATAACCAGAGGTGGGACATTTGGTTTTCTTCATCTTCCGATGTCTTTTAGCAAGCTGATACCACTCGTATCTGTTACTCTTCAGTTGTGGGTCATTTCCCACAAAGATTACTTAGGTGAACTCATTGCCCTTTATGATACATTAGTTGTTTTTCAAGGCTATATAAATTAGAATTTCAATTCTTTCAGCTGTGTAATGTATTCCTCATCAAGACTGTGCCTGGAAGCTTCGAATTTGGTCATGAACTAAGAGGGATGAAGTTAATAATTGTAATTAATTACGTACATGTCTTAGTTTAGAGGTCATTTGGCAAAAGAGTCAAGTTATCTGGCAACTTAAGCAAGCACTTATACCCAGGAAACAAGTGGTAAAATATAGTTGCTCAGTATATGCAAAGCATAAAACTTGAAATTGGACTTAAAGGCAACTGACAAGAAAATCATCATAAAAATGCTTATGAAGGGCGCCTGGGTGGCTCAGTTGGTTAAGCGACTGCCTTCGGCTCAGGTCATGATCCTGGAGTCCCGGGATCGAGTCCCACATCGGGCTTCCTGCTCAGCAGGGAGTCTGCTTCTCCCTCTGACCCTCTTCCCTCTCATGCTTTCTATCTCTCATTCTCTCTCTCTCTCAAATAAATAAATAAAATCTTTAAAAAATGCTTATGAAAAAATTATTATTGGAATATCTTTGATTTATTTTATTGATGGACTAACAAGTTTTAGAAATTGCTAGGTTGTGGCAGTTTAGAAATAATGAACACAGGGTGTGCAATCTCCACTGTTTCAAATGTTCTGAGAAAAAAATAATACATGTGTAGTTTTACTCGTTGGGTTAAAATCACTATCATCTTGCACAACAGGCAAAGAAAGTTGGCGTTGATTTTATAACTACTGAGGAACCATTATGACTGTTTTTTCTCTGTTTCTGAGCATTCTGGTACACAAGGAAACTCTGTCCATCTCACTCTGTCTCATGTACACACACACACACACACACACACACACACATACACATGTGCACCAATCACTGACCTCTCACCTAAATAGGAGGCTATCAAAATGAATATATTTTAAAGAGCGTCTAAAAACTGTTATTCATTATAGCCAGCATTTTTATCCTTAGCCCACACCCAACACTGCACAATGTACAGTGTAAGGAGATTCCAACTGAAATGTTTAAAGGCACTTATTTTATTTCTGGAGTTGCTGAAAGATTTCTACCTTATCAATTATGCTGTCTGTGGAGTAAATTCTTATTCCTCTTTTTTCCTCACAGACTTTGAATCTAAAGCCCAGAGCTTTAGATCCGCATCTGCGTACTAGAAAACTTTCAGCAGTAAATGGCTCTGTAATTTAACTATCCAGAAGCAAATAAATAGCCTCCCTTTGACGATGAAATGGAGCAAGCTTGACCACCTGTATTAGCAGATTTCTCACTGAGCTATTGGATTTCGTGGCCTTTTTTTCCCTTTGTCCTGGTAATAACTATAATTTATTATCATATAAACCTGCAGTCTGCAGGGTGTGTGAAACTTGCACTATATTTTTTTGCCATTTAAGTATCTACTGAATCGCCTCCTGCATCCTTGTTCTTATCAATATCCTACAATGCAGGTTGTGGCGCTACATTTTAAAGACTCCAGGATTTTAAAGCAAAAATGTGACAAATAATCTAGGTTCCCAATAGCAACCTGAAATGAACATGAAGCTCTCCAAGGGAATCACTCTAGCTAACTTGTTCCAATGTGTGCATATGAAAAATTCAACTGATTTGTCAACTAAGACGAATCAAACAATAAATCATCCAGTAAGTGGTAATTGATTAATAATGTATAACCATTAACACAGACTAACATTTTCTGTATACTTGCTGTTCTGTCAAAAAGAGTTTTTAGGGATCAAAGGAAATGTTTCTTTGAGGAGAGCAGATTTAGAATATTTTAGTAATACAGAGTGGTTAAGAGCATAGGTTTGGAGAGAGAGAAACTTGGCCTTGAATTTTGGCTCTGATACCACCTGGATGTGTGGCCTTGGCTAAGTTATTTAAATATCTCTTAAACTCTCTAATAATAATATTCAGGTTATGGGACTAAGGGCGTCTGTCAGAATTAATTTAAAAAAAATACACAAAGAATTTAGCATGGTGCTTAGATTATACTAAGAATTCAATAAATGTTAATTATTCAATGAATGTTGTTATTCATTAAATTCAAATTTGTTACTGAACTTTCTATAAATTCTAACATTTGCTTTAGTGGTATGTCATTATGAAACAGTCTCTTGAGAAATATAATACATGATATCAACAAACATTTTTATTACCTACTAAGTGTCAGGCACTGTGCTAGGTGTTGGAGAATCAAGTTGAAAAAAACTTCTCTCTTATTCTGAATATTTACATTTAGCCTGTCTCCTGGGATTGCTACTGGATTGCTCTGGATTAAGAATATTGGTTATTATTGTTCTTGGTTATTATTGTTCTTGCCAACCTCAGATTATTTAGAAGAAAATCATTGGCTAAGGAATGTGTCTCTGTAAGCATAAAAAGAAAAGAGCTGAGGAAAAAACAACTAAGAATAGCTTCACCTTGTAGGTGTTTATTTTCTTATTAGTAAGAAGGCTGTGGATAGGCAGTGAAGGGCAAATGCTTTGGCATGCGTGCTCTCGAGGATCAAGGCATCTCTGCCATTCTCTATGGGTGGCTTTCATCTGTACATTTATGTTGTTTCTAAAGCCTAGATACGATATCGCCATCTTAGCCAGGAAAAACAAAAGGACAAAGGGACTTGAAGCTGCAGCTGAAGCTGATGGATCATTCTGGCTGATTCTGTCCTTTTAAAAAACTTTCCCAGAATACTAACTTAGACCCAAGTGTTTACATCATAATGGCCCAAACTGAGTCATATGGTTTCCCCCTTAGCTGCAAAAGAGTCTGGGATTATGAATAATTTAGCTCCCTCTAGTAAAGAAAATTAAGAATAGTTCATCTGTTTGGCTGTCCAACATTCATTACACCATTCTTCCCATTTATACATTTTGAGTGGCATGCATTCATCCTTCCCCAAAGGGGCCTACCTCAAAGCCTTATCCTATGATCACATCTGGTGATGCCATCATCCCCGACAGGCTCAGACATGGCTGTTCCTCATGGCTTAGCACTCATAAGCTTAAAAGATGAGTTATCAAAAAAAAAATATGAGTTATATGTCCCAACTCCCATAGTACAGAACAGTAGAGAAAAAATAGGATACATGAAACTAAAGGAAGACCACCGTTCAGGAACAGAGAGAATGGGAAACAAGGAGAAATCACCAGTTGCCGGTACATACCAAATCCTGGGGGCAGGAATAGCATTCTAGCTTTGTCAGTGCAGTAAGTTCATGGGTTAGCCAGTCATATAATCCCTGTCTGCCTTCTAGAGAGGACTTTCTTGCCCATTATTCCCCATGGCCTCACTGAGGCCTCACTGAAAGGTTGTAGAGCTTTAGAAACAGTTTTCCTGAATGTAAATTTGGAGGTTTTGGAATGGCTCTACATATTGGATGTTAGCAATTATTAATAGCCAAGCCTTGAGTTATCTCACGTTTAGCAGGCCTCTTTCTTATTTTCTATCTGTCAAGTCTAAACACAAGTAAACAGAGCACATCTCTTTCTAGATGAAAAGTCCACAAAAGTCACCTGCTCTTCAGGGCCCTTACAAAAGGCTTTTTCAGGTCTACTATTAGTGATGCTATTCCAATCACCAAAGGTGATTCCCCTCACTGTGGGATATGAATAAATAGAAGTTAAACAATTGCAAAAGAGACCAAGTGTCCAAGAGAATG